CAAAAAAAAAAAAAAAAAGCAAGAAAGAAGAAAGAATGAAAGGCAAGAGAGAGAAAAAAAACAGTAAGCCATGAGAAATTTATGAGATGGAAACACTCACTTGCAGTGATAAGAGGAAGTATCAGCCTCTAGGTCATCCTTGTCAGTATTAACTACCTATAATGTAAGCATTGCTAGACAGTCATTACCTACGACAGCAAATTGATATGAACAAGCAAATTGTGCAACAAAGATTAAGCATAAGGAACAAAGACGTGCTCTTGTTTGAAGAATGAAGACCACAACACAATGGGTGGGATTAAACAAAAGTTAATACTGCAATTCTCAAATAAAGAAACAAAATTCATAGCCATAATCATAACGAAAACATATTTTTCCACGATTCCATAGTTTGTGACGAAGGCTATAGAGTATATCCTAAACCAAATAAATATATATTTGAGAGATTGAACATTTTATCCAACTAAGATTTATTTACAAAAAAGTACATCTATCCTAGAGAGAGGGAGACATTTGTTCAGATAATATTGTTAAGAAAAGTACTACATTGTAACATTAATTACTTTGCTGAATCCACATGACTACAATTGATCATAACGCCTGCAAGTTCTAAGTGGTACTATAAAACATTTCAGACCTTAATTCAAGTTTCTAACACGTATGTAGACTTGTTCCGGATTCACAAAGCATCCAGCTGGAGCACTAAAAACCAGAATATTGCAAGTTTATTATTTCTCTATTAGTTGACCACACTGATATCACATATCAGACACGTAAGAAAGCAAGGATAATTTAGACATTCTTCAAAGAGGGTGTCCAAAAGAAATTAATGTACCTGCTGAACCTCATGTGGATCAAGGTAAAAGGCATTTTCATCTTGAACACCCACGATGTATGTTGAAGCACCAGCTTTCCCCCCCAAGATCCCGAGACTTTGGGGAAAGGTAAATGTTGCTCGTAATGATGGGATGTACCTTCAGAAGTTGCATAAATATGTTGAGCTTAAATTTCTAAGCTACAATTTCTACTAGTGAAACTACAAATATAACATGTAGGTCTCCATATTAGTCAAGCGAGCCTGCTATATTATAGCAAACAAGCGAGCAAACACACAAAATACATCTCTATGTCAATCAATAAAAGTTTATAACATGAATAAAGATTTCAAGACCTTTATCAAGACTTGGTAAACGGTGTTCGGAAATTGGCAATCTGACCAAACAGGTCATGGCTGCTAGGGCAAGGGACCATGAAGTGAATAACCATCAACGTTTTTGTTGTCATGGCTTATAAAGTGGACATAAATAGAATTTTTGCTGATATGAACATGGATTTAAAGGCAATGAGCAGTTGCCTAATGTAGGGAGAGATGCTATGATGCAGAGTTGACTAAGGGTTATGTCCAATGGAAATCTCTCATGCTGCTTCTTAATCCAGTGCTAAATTGCTTTTCAAATTGCTTCAGACAGTCGTCCTCAAACTACACGTCTTTTCACAAGAATAAGAGAGATTAGGCTCCAACAATATTGATAAGAAGAGTGACAATCTCAACCAACAGATAGAAGAGATTGACAATTGAGCCCATCACAGATCAAAGCAATTGTATCAAGCTCATAATGAATCCCTATTCACCTCAACATCAGGAGAAACAATCGATCCTGCAGAAGTTCTCAACCCTAATTTGACCCATTCAATGGCACAATAACTTGACCAAATTTCCCATCAGAATCAGCATATGTTTAAAAGAAAGCAACAAATAAAAAGGGAAGAGAAAAGAATAAAAAAGACATAAGAGGAAATGGGGAACTCACATGTAAATGGAAGGATGCAAAACACCCTTCTCTATATGCATAAAAAATCCTTGGGTATGGGCCTCATGTCCCCCTTTATAAACTATTTCCAATTAAGGGAATGCAAATTCTTTACCCATTCCCATCCCCTTTTCCTATATGATTCCATCATACCAAACAGCCTGAATTTCATCCGATCCTTTGTTACAAGTGATAGGTGCTTTAAACACATACAAGTAATAGTGGAAGGCAATTAAAAACTGACAACACCAAGGTGAATTAACCTCTCTTAGCGATTGGAATTTTCCCTCATTTTTTGGATTTCCAGCTGCATTTTGAACACGAGGGTCTCCCAAAAGGTCAAGTATTTCACCATTTCCAGTTTTTACCAAGGGGGGGAACGAACCTAGATACTTGGGGGCAATGTGCTTAGAGCAGGGTATAAATTGTCCCTTCTTTAATTCCCTACCCAAAGATTAATGGCAGTAGCCATAATTTTGTTCAGATCCAATCTTAAAATGAAGGAAAGCCAAAAAAAACTTGACCAAAATTGATATAAAGCAATGAATATCTCATCTTCAGCAATTTAACAAACTTACCAGTTGATTTTCGTCTGGTTAAAGCCACATTTCCTATAAACGTGGTATCACAGTTACATTTCCCACTAAATCTTGGGTTTTAGCCTCGTCCATAAACAACAAACATCTTCACATTTCATTTTTCCAACTTTCTTATCACAAAATCCAATTTAATAATAGACATAAAATCTTCCCCACCCTTCCTTGCAAATCCTCCCATCATGAAGCAATGCTAGACTTAAAAGAACTCAATACAGCCACAATTTCCAAACCTATAGGTTCAAATTTTACAAATTATTACCAAAACGTTCAACTTTCAACGAAACTGCTAGCATGGAGATGCAAAACTAATAACTACGGAAAAACTATAGCCTTTAAAAGAACAACATCTAGAACAAGAATTCTATTTCATTGTTATTAAAATGAGTACCCAAAGTATTAAAAAAAAAACAAACAAACAAAACAAAAACAAGGCCTGTAAACAACTATAACATACCTTGGATTGATTTTTTCAAGTCCAAGAACCAAAGGAACTAATAACAGAATGGGAGTCCAATCAAGTTGGCCGTTAGAAAACTGAAAACAATGTCTTGACGCATCGTCAATGCATAAAACTGGAGCACCACCTCTCTCTCCATCTTCTTCTCCAGAAACAATGTAAATGGCCATTGGAAGTTGCAGGTCTTGGGGCGTAGGAGTCTCCCTCTTTAAGCGGACTAGAGTCTCCCATGACCTACATACGGCATATGGTCCCACCCATGACCCAGCAGCAAGGTCATAGGGCCTTCCTGCCTGAAGAAGATTATGGATCGAAAATGCTGACGTTTCCGAGTCACCAAAAAGATGCAAAATTTCAACATATTCTTTGTCCAGTGGCTGCAAATTAAAGCCAATTAGGTTTATTGCTAGATTTGTTTCGGAAATAAACCAGTATGTCAAATAAATCTTCCAGTCTCATCACACCATACAGCCAATACCTTCTGTGAAGTCTTTCTCCAAGATCTTCCTAATCTATGAAAAAGTAATGCCTGTAGATAATATGGAGATTAATAGAAGAAGAAAACAACAGAATACCTTCATGGAAAACCTCAAAACCAAAATAAACAAGGTCACTACAAATAAATAAATACATAAATAAAAATAAAAGGCATCAGCACTGTGATCGAGAACAACAATGAAAAGAAAAGCATAAACCTCACAAAAATAAATAAAAGTATGAATACCTGAGCAACAAGCATTTGGCTGCTTCTAAGCATGCAACCCCAATTTACATCACTGGTGTATTTTGAGTCTTGAATAACATTAAAACCTATAAATGGAGAGGAAAAATATAAGTTAACCGCAAGTTGTCCAGGAAAAATTATGCAAGCTTATGACACAAGTATAACTAAAAGAAAGCATATTTCATGAAACCTTTACGATAGGTCATCAGAATTCTAGATGAAAAGTCTAGCTCAAATCCTGCTATGCTGTCACTAGTAACTACATCATCAGAAGCCTGATCTTGGGAAATTTTATGGCACACACCGAGGAGCCATATATCACCACCAGAGCTATAAACACCACTCCTGCGAGAACCCAGTATGCGCTCTTGTATTCTCCTCATTGAGCCACTGGTCATAACTCTTCTTACAGTTGTCCAGACATTGTGTCGAGAATGAACTGCCTTCTTTTCACTGACAGAGGACTCCTTGTTATGTTCAAAGACTGAAAAAGTAGATGTAAAGAAGCCTGACCATAAGGAGGCTTTGGAGGATATATGATTTCTAGACCCTAACGTGGGACAAATAGATTGCTGACTTCTATCTACAATATCAGTTACACTTTCAGAAGAGCATGTTGAATTTAGATCTTTCCCCCTTCCCATGAAAATCCTTCATTACCTAGTCGAGACAAAGGGAATACCAATAGGAATGAAGTTAGTTTAAAAAAAAATTCACCAGTCAAAGTTAATAAAGAGATGAGAAGAAATAAAAGGGCGAGCCTTTTATAGGAAAAAAAAAAAGGCGAGTTTCTAATAAAGAAGAAAATAAGGATCCTCATGAAAGCACATGGAATGAAAATACTCTACAAAAGGACCCGTAAAAGAAAATGCAGGATGAGGGATGATATAACAACATATTTAATGCCTATATCTACGTACCTGGTAAAAGTTGCAAGGGAAAAACTACAGAATTCATTCATAAAGTGTGTACTAACAAGTGACTAAGAAAACAAAAATGAAAGTACTTTGTATTTCATTTCATTCCCCTTCAAATGAACGATCAATCATGAGTGTCAAGCCATTTTGGCTTTGTAGTTTTGGAACTATTTAAAGACCTAACAAGACAAAAATAGCTCCAACAAAAGAATAAGACCGACAGGATAATCACAAATTATCTTAAACATATTCGTCCAAATTGAGGCATCAAACCTGGCGAATAACTAAGGAAAAAAACAGCATAATGATTCACCAAAAACAAACCCTCCTTAGGATCTAGGAATGGTAACAGGGATTAAAAGTCCAGTTTAAGGCCCCAAAACTAATTCTCATTGACAGATATTTGACGATCAACATAAATAAACTATTATTAAACGCTCAACTTCCATTTTGATGAAGGCCGATTGAGAGTTATCTTATAGATATAGCTGCATTCAATAGATATAAATAGACAAAACCAAAAAGAAGAATCAGAATGGAATGCGTTAAGCAAGACCATGATTGATTAAAGCCTTTTCCAAGTTTACCACAATGATTTCTGGTTTTCAAAGTCGCGTGCTCACGACAAAGTTAATTATGACAAGTGATAACATGATGTCCCTGTCAAAGGCTTGGCCAAGACAGTAGATGGTGAGAATTTGGTAGAGCTACGAGGGTAAGAGGGGCTGACTCCAAGATTAAAACTGCCAAGTCATGAACGGACCACTGAAAGCGAACAAACCCATTCGAACTTGCAGAAAATAAGAGGCGGTGATCAGAGAGATGAAGAAAACCCCAAGTAGCCAAAACATGAGAGAAATCGAGAGAAGAAAGAACGGAAGATCAATTCGCCAGAGAAACAAGAACAATCAGATACAAAAAAAAAAAAAAAAAAAAAAAAAAAACTACTCAAAGGCGT